GTGATCTCATCCAGCTGCTGGGACCCCCGGGGAGGTGGGCCGGGGTGGAGGGGCGGGGCGAGGGGGCTGCTCAGCCTTTGCAGAAGCAGCCACTCCGATTTGATTTGAGCGTGTGGGAGAAACTGAGGCTGGGCAGCTGTCAGGCAGAGGATGCAGCCACCCCCCCGCCGCCTGCCCAGCAGCCTGCGGCCATGTTTGTCGGGAAGGTGTGGCAGGCAGGGGTCAGGGTGGCCGTGAACTCTGGCCGGAGGAGCCGCCCTCTGCTATCCCTTTCCCGTTCCCCGGGTACGGGGCTGGGGCCATCCCTTGCAAGGCCCCCTGGGGACCTTGACCCTGCCTGGGTTGAGTCAGTTCCCGCAGGGATGCGACCTGGCCTGCCAGCATCCAGAACCCGTGGTCCCCTCTGCTCTCGCGCCAAGTGCCGTTAATGGCCTCTCCCAGCTACTGAACCGGCAGCTGCCTTCAGCGCTGGCGGCCTCCTGCTCCTCCGGCCGCCCCCGCCCCCGCCCCTCTTCCTGGCCCCGCGCGCACTCAGGCTTGCGTCGCTGCTGGCAGCGCGGCCTCGGCTCAGGTTTCCCAGCAAGCAAACGGCCCTCCTCACGCTGCTTGCAGAGGGCGCCCGGGCCTGCAGACCGCCCTGATCTCCCTGGCGGCCATCCACCCCGAGGCCGCCAGTATGCCTCTCTCCGAGGGGGCTGCTGGCTGGGCTGGGGCTGGCCCTCGGGGCTGGTCCCTTCCCACTGAGGAGGGGCATGGGCGCGCCCTGCTGGCCTGGCTGTGGGTGGGTGTGTGTGGCGTGACTGCTGCTGCCCCTTGGCCAGAGAGGCCCTCCTAGGCCTGGCCTGCCGCACTGTTTTCCTGTTTGGGAGAGTCCCCTGGGCTCAGTGAGGCGGGGCGGGGGGAAGCCAGGGCCCTCATGGGGACACCCTGGGCTCACAGATGAAGCCAGGCCGGGCAGTGCCTGGCAGGTGGGCGTGGCCTCATCAGAGCCTTGGCCCCTTGCTTGTGTGCTACAAAGGTGGTGGAGGCCCTGGCCTGCTGTCCCCACTCGGGGCCAGGCTCCTTGGCGGCAGAAACCCAGGTGGGGGGGTGGGCATGCTCCACGGGGCTCTTGAGCAGAGGCTTTGCCCTGGGGCCGGCAGAGCAGCCCGTGAAGCTGAGCTGGGGAAGCATGGCCTGCCGGGCGGGTGCTGGGGCTGCAGGCTCTGGGCCTTCCGGGGAGGCCGGCTGCAGAGGGCTGGGTCTGGGTTTGTGTCCTAAGGCCAGGGTGGTTCCGCCGGGGATGGGAGTCACAGGTGCGTGTGTGTATGGCTTGGGACTGAGGGGAAAGTTTCCGTGTTGAGATTTTGGAGGTGTCTGGAGTTGGGGGCTGAGTGGGTTAGGGTTCTGGAGCCCTGTCCCCACCCACTAGAAGCTGCACTGAGTCATGGGCTCAGAGCAGGCTGAGAAGGGGAGCACAGGTGTGAGAGGCCACGCCCCAATCCCAGCATCCTGCAGGAGTTTCTGGGAGGCCCTGCTTATGAGCCGCCAGGCATTGGGGTGCTCTGCAGGGGTCGGACAGCCATTGTCCCTGGGCCAGCCCCACCAGAGACTGAGGCAGGCCAGGGTCTGCAGGAACCTCTGGGCCAGTAGTTCCCTCTCTCCAGCCTGCAGACCCCAAGGGGCTGATGTGCTGCCCTCCCTGCTGTGGAGGTGCAGGGAGGAGGCTGAGCTGTGGGTGCAAAGCCTCTGGAAGGGCAGATGCATGGACGTGAGCAGTGCTGGAGGTGAGGGGGTCTGGGCTGCTGGCTCCTCCTGCCTGGGCCCCCACCTTGGGCTAGGGTCTGCTCAACCGGTTTGGACTTTGGGGAGGAAGCCAAGCAGGACCTGGCTTTCTCTCTCCCCTCTGGCCTGGGCTCCAGGGCCCAGCAACCCACTGGAACCTTCAGTAGGGTGAGATGCAGCAGGTGAGCCTCCTGCCCTGGCCGTGCCCTGAGTACTTTGACAGATACAGCCCTGAGGAAGAGGAGGAGGAGGAGGAGGAGGCCTCGCGTCGCACAGGAAGGCTGTGTGGCGCTCCGAGACAGGCGGGCGTTGCGTGCAGGGGAGCGGCGAGAACGCTGAACACTACCCGCATTGTAATCGGAGAGGGGCCGGGGAAGAGAGAGACGGAGTGAGGGCGGCTGACCCCACGCTCCCCGGGGACAGGTGGGAGAGGCGGAACGAGGAGAGAGTGAAGGATTCCAGAGGTGGGCCGGCTTCCTCTCTCGCAGACAGACACGGGAGGAGGCGGGCAGCGGGCCAGCCCCATACCTGCAGTTCCAATCTGTGGTCCTGACAGCTGCAGCCACTTTGGGGAGGGGGAGGGAAGGGGGCTCATCGAGAGCGGAAAAATCCCAGCCGACACATCAGCCTGTTGCGGCCTGTGTCCGGTGCAGTCTGGGCTGGGGGCCTGTCCTTGGGGCTGGGCGGCCCCCAGGAGAACAGTGATGCTGGGTCTGCGTGTGCCCCCGGCTGGCCCGGGTCTCGTGCGGGGCCTGACCCGGAGGGGTCACATGTGTTTCCTGGCGCCCGCAGGTGCTGTGCAGGGCGGGGCGCCTGGCGGTGGGCGCAGACGGCCGGTGATGAATCATGTGTGCCGCCAGCAGCTCGTTCCCCAGGCCGGGGACAGGAGCTGACAGCTGAGGCCCAGCAGAGCATTTCCAGCCCAGCTCGGCTCACAGGGTGCGGGCTGGGCCCCCTTCCGTCCCAGCTGCCTCTGAGGGGCACAGGCAGAGGGAGCCCTGGGTCTCTGTGGAGGTGAGGCCAGCACTCCGGGAAGGGAGCCAGGGGCTGTGGTGGGCAGGGAGCACCTGCCACTCCTCTGCCCGACAGCCGAGAGGGGATTGGGGTGGGCCGCCGCAGGCCTGGGGGTCAGCCCACACCACCCCCGGTCTGGTTTGAATTTCTGGAGCAGCGGAGGGTGACGGAGTGTTCCTCCCCCACCCCTCCCCTCTTGCTGGCTGGCGGGCCAGGCCCTCGGCCGCTGCTACCGGTGCAGCTCAGGGAGCGGCTGGGCTGGCTGCCCGGGCCTGAGGCTGGCCAAGCTGCAGCCGCGGTCGGAGTCAGGCCTGCTGCAGAGGGCTTGGCTGTGAGTGCGGCACCCCAACCAGCGGGGCCCTGGGGATCCTTTCAGCTCCAAGTCCTCTGGGTCAATTGGCCCTTTCTTCTGGGCTCGTTAGACACCCCAAATTCTGGCCCCAATCCTGGGGACTCTGACCTCCCTTTCCCTTGCAGTCCCTCGTGACCCTGCCCAGACCCCCCAGCTCGGCCGGTACCTTCCCGCTGCTCCAGTCTCCCCTCCGGCATTGCCGCTCCGAGCTTGATGCTGGCATCCCTCCGGCACTGGGCTCTGGCCATGGGGTGCCCATTGGTGCCGGCAGCCCCTGGTGTCCCTGCCCTGGGGGCTCAGTGTCTTCCAGGTGCCCGCTCCTCGGGTTTGTCCCTGACGCTGACTGGCCACTGAGGTGGGGGTTCATGTGGAGGTTTGCAACCCCCACCAGGCCCAGGTCTGGAAACGGGAGGCCTGGAGGTGAAGGGCATGTGGGTCGCAGACCCTCCCTACGGAACTACACCCAGTGCCCATGGAGGAAGGGCCGGCGTAGGGGCCATGGGCCTTCGGGTGCTGTGCAGAGTGCCCGGCGGGCCTTGCTCCTGGGTCCACCCCACTCCTCACTCACTGGCGCCTTAGTGCCTGGGAGGGTGTTGGGTGGGGGTGTGAGGAAAGCACCCGGAAAGGGGAGGGACGGGGTGCCTCAGCCCCTAGCTGCACCCCCATGTCCCCTGGGGCCTGGCTTCCCGGCGGGCGGGGGCTTCTGCAGTGACTGAGCTTGTCCTCTCCTCCCCTCCCTCTGGCCAGCTGTGGGCTCCTGCAGGATTAGGGAAAGGAAATTTGGGGTTGGGTTTCTCTCTGAACGAAACCTGCCGTTGTGACTTTTTATCCTGTTATATTTCTATCAGATTGGACACAGCCCCCCCTAGCCCTTAATGGCTCTGGCTTTGAGAATTTCCTCCAAAATTACACCACTGCTTCCTGCTCCGTGGTTCCCTGGAGCCTGTCTTTGCAGAGGAGGGGCAGTCCTGGCCCAGCCCTGCGCCGATGCCCACGTGGGCCACAGCACCTGGTCTCCCCTCCGGGGGCGCATCCGTGCCTGTGCTGAGGAGGGAACTGGGGCCGGCGCTGCCCCGACGCCCGCATCTGGCACTGTCAGCCATTGTCCACCCAGCCGGAAGTCAGGCTGTGGCCTGGCAGGGTTGGGGGGAGCACCGCCCGCCTTTCTTCTCTTTGTGCCCACTGAGCTTACACCACTAAATGGTAATTGTCACCTGCAGGGTTTTAATGACTGGCCAGCTGTGTGCAGACCGCTGTTGGGGCAAAACCCACCTCCTGTGGTGGGCGGGGTCTTCAGGGAGCCGGCTGAGTGGCGCCCGGTGGTGGGAGGTGGGTGGCCAGGGGGTCCTCATTCCCATGTGGGCAGTGGAGGGTCCAAGTGGCCCTGGTGCAGACGGAGAAGACGTCCCTCCAGGCCAGGCTGGTGGAGGCAGGGCACCCACCCCCTCTGCCGGGCAGCACAGCTTGCTCCACTCCTTGGCACTCCGAGGCCAGATGTGGCACCCTCCTCATTCTCCTGTCCCCTGGGTGCCTGGCAGGCCCCAGAGTGGGGCACGCCTGCCCTGCTGCTGCCCCCGTCCCTGCCTTGTGGCAGGGGCCCTGTCCTTCCTCACCCTCCTACCTTCTGCCACACAGCTCCTCCCCAACCCTCTCCGCCGGCATGGATCCCTCGTTCCCCACCCCACAGCTTTCCGATAGAGGCCTCTGTGGGAGAGCTAAGCCTGTCCTCACCGCCTCAGCCCAGGGAGGGATGGCCCTGAACCCTGGAAAGTGAGGGCTTCCCAGGGAGCCCAAGGAGGATGGGACCACCAGGGGTGGGAATGGAGGCTCGGGCTAGGGGTGCATTCTGGAACTTTCAAGCGGACAGTTGGTCTCCATATTTGGAAGATACTGTTTTGTTTTTAATTATACAAAAATTTTCAGACTTTATATTATCATATCAAAAACACAAGATGCCCACACACAGTGGCCAGAAGAAAACCCAGGCCCGAAGCCAGCGCAGAAAGTTCCAGTGGGCCCGGGCAGGTTGCTGGGGCCAGCACAGAGTCCCGCTGCCGGTGCCTGTCTGTACGTCCGTCTGTCCTTCGGCCCCGCTCACAGCCAGGGCAGGGCTGGCCTCGGGGGCGTGCTCACGGCGGACCTTGCCCAGCTCAGGTCCAAGGTGGGGCTGTCTGTGGTCGCCCAGGGCGTCCACCTCCCCCAGTAGCGTCTGCCTCCTGGCTGCTGCCGGCCACCTCCTAACTGCGAATCGCTGTCTTTCTGTCGCGGTCCTTGCTCTGCAGAGGGGAGGGAGGAGTGTCAGGGCCCGGCAGAACCCAGCGCCAGTCTGCGCCTCTCTGGCCTCCCTGCTGGGTGCAGTCTCAGGTGGCCAGCGCTGAGGCACCTCCTTCTCAGCTCTCCCCAGCTTCCCCCAAGCGTTTTGGGGAGGGGAGCACACTGCTGCACAGCCGAAATTGTAAAATTAAATTTCCCAGATGTTCAGGCCCCAGGAGCTCACGCGTGCTGTCTGGAGAGGAAATGGGGATTGGGAAAAGCCGTGCCGTATTTTCTCCCTGCTCACCCTGCTTTTCCGGTGCCACCAAGCACAGCAGGAGCTGTAAATCACAGCTGGCCAGCGTCTCCTGCAGGGGCCCTCACCTCCCCGGCCCCCACATCTCCTGCCAGTCTCTGCCTTCATGTCCCATGGTCCATGTCTCCGCCAGCCCTACAGGACCTGGTGTCTTGCTGTGCAGCCCGGGCGGGGAGTGGACAGCAGGTGCCCAAGATGGCCTAGGCTGCTGGTGGGCCGCAGGGGCTGCGAAGATCCTGGGGTCCCAACTCTCTTGCTGCCCCTTGTCAGGGGCAGGTGGGTGGGCTTGAAGCAGCATCTTATGAACTCGGCTATTTTCACTCCACCTTTTCAACTTGCTGAATCGGCAGCTTGCAGCGGCCTGGTCCAGCGCCCCAGCTTCCCCGCACTGGGTAGGGCCCCCTCTGGCCTTCCCTAGCTCTTGCCCCTCATGCAGCTCCCTGGGAGGGACTCCACACTCCACTGGGAGCTGGGTGTCCTAGGGACTCCTGGAGAGGAGGAGCCCAAGGAGAAGGCCCAGCCCCCACCAGGCCTGTGTTACAGGTGTGCCTGCCTGTGCCCTGCTGGGAAGCCCTGCCTGCGTGGCCTCGCCTCCTTTGCCTGGCAGGTGTGGCCTGAGGGATGCACTGGAGGCCCCCTCGGTGCCCCCCGGCCCGTGCTCACCAACTTTCTCTGGTTGCTGAGGCAGAAGGTGCAGATCTGTTTGGGCTGGGCGTTCTCGCCGTCGCGCGCGGGAGGCGGCGGTGGCGGTGGCGGTGGCGGGGGGCTGCCCGCGCGCGCCGCGTGGAAGAAGGCCGGACCCGAGTGGCACGGCTGTCCGTCTCCGCAGGCCTCGCCCGCCAGCAGCACGTTGCCCAGGTGCGAGATGTAGCTGGAAGCCAGGCGCAGCGTCTCGATCTTCGAGAGCTTGCGGTCGGCGGGCTCGGTGGGGATCAGCGTGCGCAGCGCCGTGAAGGCCGTGTTCACGCTGTTGGTGCGGTCCCGCTCGCGCGCGTTTGCCGTGTGCCGCTGCCGGGGCTCACGGCCTGGCCGGCCCCCTGGCCCCCCGCCCCCGGCTCGCCGGCCCCCAGACCTCCGCCGGGCGCCCTGGAGGCCGCAGCGCGCCGCGTGCACGCGACAGGGTTTCTCGTCGGAGCCCGAGCTCTCGCTGCCGCGGTCCTCATCCTCCGACAGCGGGCTCACCTCGGGGTACAGGTAGCGGCCCGGCGGCGCCGGGCGCAGCGTGGCGAAGGACATGGGGCCAGCGGGGGCGCGGCGTCAGCTCCGTCGCACGCTGCTCATGCCGCCTCCTGCGGCCGCCGCGGGCCTCGCGGGCCACCCGGGGCCGAGGCAAGGCGCCAAGGCAAGGCGCGGGGTCTCGACTGCGCCCCGCGGTGGCAGCTGCCGGGCGCCGCGCGCACATGTGCGTCCCGGGCTGGAGCTGGGCCCCGAGCCGCGCCTTTATAGCGGCGTCCCGGCCCCGCCCCTGTGCACGCCCCGCCCCTCCTGGCCCGGAGGCTCCTCGAGCTGCCCGTCGAGTCCCTGGGCCTTCTGTGGCCACGCTTGCGGGGGCGGGGTGCGGGTCTTTGGAGCATCGTCCTGTCTCTGGGGATGCGGAGGAAGCGGGAGGCCTCTAGGCCACAGTTACTCAGGGCCCCAAGACTGCAGTGCCCCCCGCTCCGCAGGAGAGGGGAAGGAGGTCAGCGGGACCCACCACCCCACTTTCTCCTGTGGCACAACCGTGTTAACCCAGCCGCCCTGGCCCTGCTGCCTGACCGCACCCTGTCTGTCTGACTCCATGTGCGCCAGGTCCTGCCTGTGCCAGGCCGTGTGTGCAGGGGGCGGGCACAGCCGAGCATTCAAGGGCCTAGAGCTCAGTCCCTGCCTATCTGTCCTGCACCTGCCCCTCCAGGCTTGGCACAGACTGTGCCTCCTGCGAGGCCCTGACCAGGTCCCCAGTTCCTGTGCTGTGTGGACCCCTCTCCTCGTGGGTCTAACCCACCTTTCTCCTGTTCCTCTCCAGGGCCACGAGGCCCCTCAGGAGACATACACATACCCCTATTCTCCAGTTTGGGGATGGCCCCCTTTTCCCATGGGGAGGAGAGGGAAGGCAGGAGTGTGGGGAGGTGCTGGGGGTGGCCCTCTGGGGAGGGGCAGGGCCCAAGGGGGTCCCTCCTATGGCAGGGGGGGCGGCAGGCTCCCAGCTGTGCTCTGTCTTGCCTGGGCCCCTCCCCGTGGCTACTGTTGCAGGAAGCAGCCGCCTGGGCAGCAGTCCCCAGGCTGGAAAGAGCGAGGGTGGCGGCTGGCAGGGGCTGTAACCAGGAATGTGCGTCCAGGAACGTGGCTGTTCTGCCTGGGGAGGGGCCGGGGGCAGACAGCGGGGTGCTCCCACGGAGAGGCCTCGGCTTCTGTCTCTCTGTGGAGTGGGTCAGTTGGGGTCTTCCCTGCATCCCTGTCTTGCAGCTGCCCACTTCTGCCTAAGGCCCCTGCCAGGGGAGGGAGCCCGAGGGTGATGAGGTCATCCCTGTCTGTGGCTGCCCAGAGCCCTGGCCAAGGAATCCAACGAGGGGGGAGCTCTGGGGTTGGCACCACTTCAGTGGAAAATGTGAAGGTGCAGCTCCGGCGCCTCCAAGGGCGGGGGTGGGGGCAGCGTGGCCACCGTGCCACGTCAGACCCCAGGGCTGGGGAAAGGGCGTATGTCGGGGCCAGTGACCTCAGGGCCCTTGAGGCTGGGCCTGCACTCACTCCGCAACCTCTTCACCTGCTCCCCTGGGTGACCCGATGCCGCGATGGGCCTTGTAGGGTCAAATGCTGACATGGTGGCACCCGCTGGCTGCAGGACATCCGGAACACGGTGGGCAACGTGCCCCTGGAGTGGTATGACGACTTCCCCCACGTGGGCTATGACCTGGATGGCAGGTGCATCTACAAGCCCCTGAGGACCCAGGATGAGCTGGATCAGTTCCTGGACAAGATGGACAACCCTGACTACTGGTGAGGGCCGGTGGGGCAGGGCCGGCGGCCAGGGTGGGCCTGGGGGGTGGGGCAGGTCTGACTGGCAGCCTCCAGGCGCACCGTGCAGGACCCAATGACAGGGCGGGACCTGAGGCTGACCGACGAGCAGGTGGCGCTGGTGCGGCGGCTGCAGAGTGGCCAGTTTGGGGACACGGGCTTCGACCCCTATGAGGTAGGTGGCAGCGGCTGGCCTTGGGGGGTTCTGAAGGCACCGTCAGGGGCTCTGCCACCCCGGCCCACGTGCCCACGTCTGTTCCCCAGCCGGCTGTCGATTTCTTCAGTGGGGACGTCATGATCCATCCGGTGACCAACCGCCCAGCCGACAAGCGCAGCTTCATCCCCTCCCTGGTGGAGAAGGAGAAGGTGCGGCTGCCCCGTGCCCCTGGGGCTGGGCCTGGGCTGCCCACCCTGTGTTGTCTGTCGTGACCCGGCTGTCTGTGCAGGTCTCTCGCATGGTGCACGCCATTAAGATGGGCTGGATCCAGCCTCGCCGGCCCCGAGACCCCACCCCCAGCTTCTATGACCTGTGGGCTCAGGAGGACCCCAATGCCGTGCTGGGGCGTCACAAGATGCACGTGCCCGCACCCAAGTTGGCCTTGCCCGGCCATGCGGAGTCGTACAACCCACCCCCCGAATACCTGCTTGGCGAGGAGGAGGTGGGCCTGCGTCGGCGGGGGTCTGGGCCCTGCCCCGATGCTGCCCCCCGACCCCCCTCACCCGAGTCCCCCCGGCCTCCACAGCGTGCAGCGTGGGAACAGCAGGAGCCCAGCGAGAGGAAGCTGAGCTTTTTGCCGCGCAAGTTCCCGAGCCTGCGGGCCGTGCCTGCCTACGGACGCTTCATCCAGGAGCGCTTTGAGCGCTGCCTCGACCTGTACCTGTGCCCTCGGCAGCGCAAGATGAGGGTGTGTGGGGGCGGCACGCCTGGGGGGCAGCACGTGGGGCAAGGCTGACCTGGCGCTCTCCTGCCCCAGGTGAACGTAGACCCCGAGGACCTCATCCCCAAGCTGCCTCGGCCGAGGGACCTGCAGCCCTTCCCCACGTGCCAGGCCCTGGTAAGTGGAGACTAGGGGGCTGGGGTTGTGCCCTCCGTGCCTGGCTCCTCGCCTGCTGAGTGGAGACTAGGGGGCTGGGGTTGTGCCCTCCGTGCCTGGCTCCTCACCGCCGCCTTCTCAGGTCTACAGGGGCCACAGTGACCTTGTCCGCTGTCTCAGTGTCTCTCCTGGGGGCCAGTGGCTGGCTTCAGGTGGGTCTGAGCTGGGGGCAGCCCTGAGCTGGGGGCAGGTGGGATGTCCAGGTGCTGAGAGCCTTCCCTGTTGTGCCCAGGCTCCGATGACGGCTCCCTGCGGCTCTGGGAGGTGGCCACTGCCCGCTGTGTGAGGACTGTGCCTGTGGGGGGCGTGGTGAGGAGTGTGGCTTGGAACCCTAACCCTACCGTCTGCCTGGTGGCTGTGGCCGTGTAAGTGGGGCCCCTGGGGGCAAGGGAGCCAGGGGTGGCGCCATGCTGAGGGGCTCTGTCTGGGCCTGGCCCACAGGGAGGACTCGGTGCTACTGCTGAACCCGGCTCTGGGGGACCGGCTGGTGGCAGGCGGCACGGATCAGCTGCTGAGTGCCTTCGTCCCGCCTGAGGAGCCCACCTCGCAGCCCGCCCGCTGGCTGGAGGCCTCGGAGGAGGAGCGCCAAGTGGGCCTGCGGCTGCGGATCTGCCACAGCAAGGTGTGTGGGTGCGCTTCGGGTGAGGCTCCGTGGGAGGGGCCTGGCTCAGTCAATCAGCCAGCCTTGCCTTCCTGCAGCCAGTGACGCAGGTGACCTGGCATGGGCGTGGGGACTACCTGGCCGTGGTACTGGCCACCCAGGGCCACACCCAGGTGCTGATCCATCAGCTGAGCCTTCGCCGCAGCCAGAGCCCGTTCCGCCGCAGCCACGGGCAGGTGCAGCGGGTGGCCTTCCACCCTTCGAGGCCCTTCTTGTTGGTGGCGTCCCAGCGCAGCATCCGCCTCTACCACCTGCTGCGCCAGGAGCTCACCAAGAAGCTGATGCCCAACTGCAAGTGGGTGTCCAGCCTGTCTGTGCACCCAGCAGGTGAGGGGTGGGGGCTGTGCACCCGGCAGGTGGGGGGTGGGGGCTGTGCACCCTGCAGGCGGGGGGTGGGGGCTGTGCACCCTGCAGGTGAGGGAGGGGTGGGACACTTGAATCATAGCCTCGGGCCCTAGGTGACAACGTCATCTGTGGGAGCTACGACAGCAAGCTGGTGTGGTTTGACCTGGACCTTTCCACCAAGCCATACAAGGTGCTAAGGTGAGAAGAGCTGGGGGTGGAGGCGGCCAGTGGAGCCCCTCCCTCTAGCCCGAGCCTGCCTTCAACCTGGTTGCTCCCCACAGACACCACAAGAAAGCTCTGCGGGCTGTGGCCTTCCACCCCCGGTACCCGCTCTTCGCATCAGGGTCGGACGACGGCAGCGTGATCGTCTGTCATGGCATGGTGTACAAGTGAGTGCCAACCCTGCCTGGCCCCCTCCCCAGGGCAGTGGTGTCTGGCTGTGTCCTAAGTCATCCTTGTCCCCACAGTGACCTTCTGCAGAACCCCCTGCTGGTGCCTGTCAAGGTGCTGAAGGGACACACGCTGACCCGAGACCTGGGAGTGCTGGACGTCATCTTCCACCCCACTCAGCCATGGGTCTTCTCCTCGGGGGCAGATGGGACCATCCGCCTCTTCTCATAGCTGTGCCGCCTGCCCTGGGGCCGGGGCGGTTGCGCTGGAGTCAATAGAGGCTTTTCCCTGTGCTGCCTGGTGCTCCCACCTTCTTGAATTGGGGTTGCCGACAAAGCCGCCCCCACCACAGCGCCGAGCCCCCCCACTCGGTGTTGCAAAACGGTGGGAATACCACACCCAGCCCAGGGCACCCGCTGGCCCACCCCCTAAGAGGCTGTGGCATCGCACCCTGTCAGTCATTTGCTGGGAGCAGATGAGTTTATTGGGCGCACGGCCTCCCACACCCTGTCTGGCCGTGGCACATCCCTCACTGAGGGCTTGGGTTTGGTCCCTGGCAGTGCCTGTTCTGGGGCCAGGCCCCTCCAACCCTGCGGCTGGTCCTCAGGAGGCCCTGTCTTGGAGCTCAGGCACAGGTCTGGGTGGGTACTCCTTGCCGGGGGTCCTGGCCGGAGCCTCAGGCGAGCTTCACCAGGCGACCCAGGGCCTCAGCAGCCCTCGTCCGCACCTCTGGGGCCGGGTCCTTCAGCAGGATCTGGAGTGCTGGGGGCAGAGGGAGGGGCTGCCTGGGGCAGTGCCTTGCAGCCACCGTGCCTGGGGGCTGTGACCTCCGCACGCCTATGCCTGCTCATGGGCCACGCTCTCCTGACAGCCTCTGCTGGGAGGGCTCAGGAGCCAACGGAAAGATAGTTTTTCCTTTTTTAGTGTTTTTTAAGCTCTTTTGGAACAGTTAAGAAGTTTCCGTGAATTACTAGAGACGATGAGGTCACCAGTGACAGGGAAAAAAATCCTGAAATCCAGGAAAATCACTTAGTCCCTGCGGGTGCCTACAGGGTCAGCAGGGCCCAGCACAGGGGCCCTGTGGAGGGGGTGCTCACCCGAAATGAGCTGGTCCAGTTCCACCTGTGGCTGCTGCCTGGGCTCCGCGTGCAGCACTAGGAACCCTGTGAAGTGGGGGTGTCAGGCAGGGCTGCCAGCAGAATGGGGGCAGGGCAGGGGCTGGTGCTCACCCGTGAACAGTGGGGCGGCGGCTCGGACGTCCTCCCAGCTGCTCTTGAAGTAGAACAGGCAGGTGCTCAGCAGGCGGCCCAGCAGGTCTGGGAAGTGGTGCATCTGGGGAGAGGCCTGGTCAGCTCTTCCTGGCCCCCCCACCCGGCCCCGCCCCATCCACCTGGCCCCACCCCATCCACCTGGCCCCACCCTGCCCCTCACCAGGTGCTTGCAGGTGGTGTTGAGGAACTCCCCGAAGTGCAGGGCCCGGCCCTCCTGCAGGTGCCTCTGGAAGGCAGCTGAGAGCTCCTCACACGCCAGGTTGGGGCCACACATGAGCAGGGCGAACCTGCAGGCCTGAGGGGTACAGTACTGAGGCTGAATCCAGTTGAAGCCACCCGCCCCACCCCCTGGCTACTCACGCTGGCCACAGCGGCCTGAGGGTCCTGCAGGTGCAGCAGCAGAGGTGCCAGCCCGCCCATCACCTGGTCCAGGAAGACGTCCTCACAGTCTCCGTGGCAGACCTTGTTAAGGTGCCCAAAGAGGCGGATGGATGCCGTCCGGAACTCCATCTTCTCCTGGGAGGGACAGGCAGCATGCACCCCTTACATGCCGTGCCCCTGTGGGCCTACCTGTCCTAGCCCCTGGCACTGATGGTGCCCTCGCCTGACACAGGCCAGGAAACACTCCCTGATGGGTGGGGGCTGCCAGGCCCAGCAAAGCAGCACCCACGCAGGTCTGAGCTCTCCGTGGTCACCTGGCAGCGGTGGGAGAATGACAGGGAGCAGGATGGGGCTGGGGCTAAGGCTCAAGAGTAAAAGGCAGGAAGGGCTGGGGCCCTGCCTCCCCCACCCCCCCCACCTCCCCACCCCCAGTGCAGCCTACACTGTCGAAGAAGGGCCGGATGCGGATGGCCATGTGCAGCAGCCCCGAGCGCAGGTCCCAGGCCTCCATCAGGTCCAGCAGCCGTGCCAGGCCCACCATGGCTTCCAGGGCCACCGGGCTGTGAGGGTTGTCGCCGTCATCCAGCCCGCCAATCATGGCTGTGAGGAGCTGGGGGCCGTGGGCCCGCACCTGAGGATACCCTACATTCAGCCTGGGTCCCAGAGTCACCGTCTGCCACCCCACCAGACAGGGTGGCATTCATGCACAGCCCGCACCCAAGCTCTCTGGGCCCCAGAAGGGCTGGGGGCCGCCCCACCTTGTCAGGGCTGCCGGAGGCCAGGTTGGCCAGGCCACGGAGCACCAGCCTCCGCACACTGGTGCATGTGTCTTTCTGCCGCGCCGCCAGGCTCTCCAGCAGCGAGTCCAGGAGCATCAGGTCGTTGGCCACGTTGCTGTTCAGCAGCTGCAGGCAGGGGTGCCGTGACTGCCCCTCCAGCTGACCCTAGGACCCAACCCACCAGCCCATGCCCAGAACACCAGAGGCTGCCCCCACACCGGTGAGGCAGATGAGGTGCAGGACCTACTCCCTGGCTCTCAGATCTGTGGCAGCCCCTCCCACTTCTGCCGCTGGGGCCCACTCTGAACCCCACTCTGCCCTGTTGCATGGCCATGGGCAAGACCACACCACCAAAGTCATCTGGAGTTCCAGGGGTCAGCCCTGCCCAGCTACAGGTGTGCCCAGCAGGGCCTGGGCCTCAGAGCGCAGGCTGCAGGCAGCCAGGGTCCTCCTCTCACCAAGAACAGAGGTGTTCTTGGGCTGGATGGAGCAAGTTCTGGCACACCAGGAGGAGGTTGTTAGTGTCCACATCCCTCCCTTGCAGGCCATAGTTAGGGGGGGCCTTTCAGGGTTTGGAGAACGGTGTCCCGTGCCTGCCCTGAGCAGGAGGCCCAACCTGATGCCCAGTCTCCTTCCCTGGAAAGGCCTACCTCAGCCAGGAAGGCGGTGGTGGTCACCCTCTGGACCTCATAGGCACTGCTCTGTGTGTATGCCAGCTCCTTCAGCACCAGGGGTAGCCGGGGCCCCGCATGCTCAGCCATGGCCCTGGAAAGGGGGTTGCTGAGGGTGCAGGGGCCGTTGCTGTGCTGCACCCTACCCAGGCACCTCCCACCCTGCACAGCCCTGGTCAGTCCACCTCCAGCTGCCAGGCTCTGGGAGTTCTTCCACTCATAGGTGCCTTCCAGCGTGTCTCACCAAGCCTCTGCAAAGGGGTCTCTCCCCATCCCCACCCCAGGGAGTGAACAGGCAGTTCAGGCCACCACTGGCCTGACACACATAGGACCCTTGCCTGATCACTGTCACGTCCCGGGCCCCCAGAGATCAGTTGGAGCCCAGCCAGTGCCGGAGCTGCAATGGGCTGGGACGGCTCACCTGGCCAACCTGGTGGCCCCCTCCTCATGCCCTGCCGAGGTCCTGAGCAGCTCCCAGCCTCCTTCTTGGTCCATGCGCTGGGCCACAGCCTCGCTGCCGCTTCGGAGCAGCACAGCCCGCAGGGTGTCCACAGCAGAGCTGCAGGATTACCAGGGTGCTCAGCTGGTGGGGACACATGTGCCCTCCTCCCTTCCTGAGGAGCCACTCCGGTCTGCAGCCACTGTGTGTTGTCCACCTGGCGGCTAGCCCTATTCCTGCCAGAGCCATCCTCCAGGAAGCAGGCTCTGGGCCACCTGCTGGAGCGCCCGTTTTCCCCACCCAAGGCAAGGATGCAGATGTTGGCTCTCATCCAAGTGAGAGCTGGACACAGCCAAAGCCCCCTGGCCACACCTGCCTGCCTTTCTGGACATCTGGACAATGCTGGGCACCCATACCACAGGTGCCCACCCCTGGGCCTTTCCTGCCTGGCACCTCAGGCTCTCACATCTGTACCCCAGGAGACTCCATAGCCCTCTGGGAAGCAGCCAAGCCAAGCCCCTGATCCATTCCCAGTGTTGGCTGAGGCTGGCTGGCAAGTGAGTGGGAGGATGGTGCTCAGAGCTGGAGTGGCTGCAGGGGTGCACCCAGCCCACCCATGCTGAAGAGCAGGCAGGTCTCTTCCCACTCCCACCCCAGAGAGTGAACAGGCAGGAACTCGGGCCACCGCTGGCCTGACACTTGGACAACTCTCCACCTCTCCTGACTCCCCAGAGGCCAGAAACTGACAGGGAGAGTTTGATGTTGAAGCCTCCACAGGGCCCGGCTTGAACCTGGCATCTGCCATCAGCTCAAATGAGCCCTTCTCTGCCGAGGCTGCCGGTGGGCAGGACATAGCGTGTGACCCAACAGGCATGGTCTGGGGAAGAGGATGCCCTGCACCAGCATCCCCACCCAGCAGGACCCTCCCTTGCAACTCGGGTGCCCACGGCCCCCTGCCACGTGGCTTTCTGCTGCCCACTAGCACCTCACACGTTAGGCCCCTGATGCCTGTGGACCTCTGCCTCCACAAGGCTTCGTCCTCAGGAGCGCCTGGCCCAGAGAAGACAACCCCCAAGCAGCATGAGCCATGTGGTGGCCACTGGCTGTGGTGACTGCCACTGCACTGGTCACCTGCCAGGTGTCCCACAGGCTCCCTTCCCGTAATGGGCTCTTGACCAGGAGGCCGCAGGTGCTGGGACGTGGGGTGGGCCCGGCAGGGAGCAAGTGGCCCTGCCAAGCTGGGGGACAGGTCCTGCTCGCCTGGATGGTGTTTAGGGCTCTCATGCAGGTGGGATCCAGGAGGGTGTGGTGAGCACAGGAGCATAGGACAAGCTTGTTAGAGATCTAGTGATGGGTCTCATGAAGCTTCTGGGAGGTTGGACACACAGGCCGGTGATGCCAGCAGGACTGAGGTGGCCTGAGAGCTGCACAGAAGCTGCAGCAGCTGAGGGCCATGGGGGTCTTGGCAGCCCAGGAAGCAGGTGCCAGGGGTCTGCTTCCAGTATACCACTGCCCCCATGGGTATGTCTGGGTGGCCTGGTGCTAACCAACAGCAGGGCCAGCCCCTCACATGGCCCTTGATGAGTAACCCCAGGCTCCACTCTCAGGGGGTCCCTCCCCAAGGTAGGACATGCTAGAAGGCAGCTCTGGGTGTACCAGGAGTCCCATGGTTCCAGTGTGGGGCCTGATCTTTGAGCCCAGGTAGCCTGGGTGCCAAGGGGGCTTCTAGCCCTGGGAACAGGACAGCCAGCACTG